CAAGAGAATAGACATCGGTAAAATCTGCATATTAATTTAAGAATTTAAACCCTATTGCAAATTATACTGCAAAGGCTGAGTTGTTCATCACCGTACTATTACTAGTTTTGCAAACCAATTGCCTGCAAACAGTCACATCCTGACAGTATGATAATAAGACTACATGAACGCCATCATAAGGTAAAATTGTAAAGAATAGAAAAAATAAGACCTACAGTATTTCCGTCTTGGAAAGATTCCATGGCACGAAGAATGATGCCCTCATTTTGGCCAAGTACAATGACGTCACTTATTCCAGCATCCAAACGCTCTCCGGGCATTAAGAAAAAGACTTTTTCGCCCTTGATGAGAACTTTCTTGCCAATTTTCGGAACGCCTTTGTCGTCAACTGGATCATAAATGACACAGAAGTTGTTCGAAGAAAGAACAATGGGTGATACCACCTTAACTACTTCCTCATCCACGCTGGGGATATGGCTTTCTGCGTCTAAATGCGTAATCAGCCATTCCTCTCCATGTCGTCTGCGCTTGCCAAAGTCGTCCACATGAGTTCGTTTCGCTTTGACGTGGAGAGCGAACTAAGGAAAGAAATGAAGCAAATGTTCGAAATTTGCTCATGTTCAAACTATCAGGCATATTAAGAGGATAAATGTCGTATTTATTTATTTAGGACAATTTAGAAAAGAACGGGAACTTACCTTCTCATCCAAATTATAGGCTTTAAGAACGTTGACACGTTCTTCGTAGGCTCCAATCATATATGCACCAACAGACTTTACTAGCCACTCCTCACCATACACGCGCTTTTTTCCGTCTTTCCCGGTGAAATCCATCATGGCGCGCAATAAAAGTGCTGTGTTTGGTTTGATCATTTCGACTTTTCGCGTCGAAAGCACTTCGACCTCCTTACGTGGTTTGTAAATGCCTGAGGAAAGATTGCATGTAGTGAATCATCCCTTACAGAGAAACCTGCCTTTTTACTGAACGTAAACAACTAAAGTTGACTATTTGCATGATATCTGTAGTTAAAAAATCAGACACCACAAACCAGTTGCGAGAAACATTTATGATAATAATAATCAAGGAGTCTGCTGATAAAATGAAATATTGATAGTCAGTGTTTTTTTAAGAAAAACAATGAACCACCTCATGGCTCAGGTCAATTGGCCTCGTCAACAAAGTGAGGTACAATTTTTCTGCTACCACGTCACACATGTGCAAATAAGGAACTCAAAGGCCATCCACCTACATATCCCTCAAATATAATGAAACTGATACCGAATGCTATTAAGAAGAAACAAAAAATCAAGAAATGCTGACGAATGATAAAAATGTATGCGACGGCTGCTAATTAAACATGTTTCGGCTGAGTTGATGGCAATTATTGGCTTCTTAATTGATATGTGCGATTGATGTTGCAGAATCTTCTAGTGCAGCGAAAGTGCCCTAAAAGGATATGCTTACTCTTAAGATATCTTAACTGTAGGCGTTGAGCATTAAAGTCACACAGGTTAACTAAATTAATTTAGATCCGTGCATGTTAGGCCCCTTTTTAAAGTATATTGTTTTACTTAAGTACATACAGACCTAAATGAGGATCGGTCTTAATCTATCAAGTGACATACCGGGGCCTTCGTGAAGCCACCTTTCACCAGCTATGCGATCAACACCATCCTCGGATTGGAAGTCAACCAAGGCAGAAAGCAGGAGGGCCGCATTTGCGGAAAGAACAGTAAGGGGGGTAACCTCCTTCACAAGCTCTTCGCCAGGATACAGAGGAAAGGGAGGTTGGGC